GAAGAAGCCTCTATGTCCACTTTCAAAGCGCTACGCATACCTAATAAAATTAATGGTAACGTTTTGATCCAATCCTCATCTTCATAGCAATGGCGGACAGCTTTCATTTGGCGGTGGAAACGCTGAACAAATCCATTTGCTGAAGGGTGATATGCTGAAATTCTTAGATAAACATTTCGATAAATCCTGAAATAAATCTGATTCGAACTGCTTTCCTTTAATCCGCTCAGAAATACCAAAACGTACAATCCAACTCATAATCATTGCGCTAGTTAGCGACATTTTCAGCAGTGATATTAATTATGTGTGAATCCACTTGCATAAGGCATGGGGCTCACCACAAATCGAAATTTTGAAACTACATATTCTTTTAATGGCATGTCTAGTGCCCTTATTTCTTTGACATGGAACGCATGCTTTCAGTTTTTGCGTAGCTTTAATTTCTGGATCCACGAATAGATTGTCTACGAAATGAGGGAGTTAAATACGGTCTTATTTTAGTAGAGGAGCTAACTCGAAATCAACTGAATGAGAGTGATACATATTAGCCGATAGAATTCCACTGTGGCCTATCCTCATATGCTAAAATCGACCGTCTGTCGCCTCAGGCCACGATACTCTGCGGTACTTCTTGCGGTACCAATTGTAAATGGTTTTTTTTGGGAAAATAAGTTATACACCTAATGAAAACGTTGATAATAGTTTCTTAAAAACTCGCTAACATTTGATATCTTCGTAAAGAACAATTCTTAGTCGGTTTTTCACGAACTCTCTACGGATAGAACTAAGGTACAGTTGCATCAATGAGGCTGATTTTTTTACAGACTAAGGATAGGAACTGCCAATGACGAGGGCAGTGTTTCTTCTTTAAATTTTTTCTCTAATTATAAGATTATCTTATTATTATAAGACCGTTTAGCGATTACATGATAGTTTAGTACTTCCCAAATCCCAATGTAATGTGAGCTGCCTAAATCAGACTGGGCTTCTAACAACGAAAACGAAAGCAGTGGTTTTTCGTACTAAAAAGGGAAGTTACCTTAGTTGCAACACGAGCGACATCGTTATTAATTCCCATTACCAATAATTTCCTATTAACGAAATCATATTAATTTTTTTGTGAATTAATAACCAATAATCTAAAAAAAAACACTCGAGCACGTCAATTTTAGGTTCAAGAGGAACATCTTTTTTAATAAATCACACTTGTTGATCTTACCCATTAGTACTAGAACCATTATCCCTTAAATTTGATAAGTAACGGTCGCAAATTGTTTAGATTTATTTATTACTATTATTATCATGCTGAGAGACTGCGCAGTCTTTACTACGAAGCTCTGGATAGGACACATAGGAAATTATTTTGTAATTTACAGTTGTAACTGGGAATTAGTTTATAATTTACAGTTGTAATTGGGAATTATACTAATTTACAGTTGTAACTGGGAATTATGCTAATTTACAGTTGTAACTGGGAATTATACTAATTTACCATTGTAGCTGTAAATTAGTATAATTCCCAGTTACAACTGTAAATTCGCATAATTCCCAGTTCGAACTGTAAATCAGTGTAATTCCCAATTACAACTGTAAATTATAAACTAATTCACAGTTACAACTGTAAATTAGTATAATTCTCAGTTACAACTGTAATTTACAAAATAATTTCCTATGTGTCCTATTCGCTTCGTACTTTACACTTGTCAGGGTGTATATATAAATTTAACATCGATAAAAGAGACATATGACATATTTGCGAATGAAAATGACACGAACACAAATACACAAAATTTTAAATGAAGAATCGATGAATTCTTCTACTACTCGTACGTAAAAAACATGCGTAATTAAAAATGATTTTAAATTATGTCTAAAATTTTTCGGTAAATCTATTCTGATCATAGTTCAAGAACAAATCAGTTTTCAATAGGAATAGTCTCGGGAACAGTGTACCTCCTGTTGGTTACTAAGTGAGAATTTCTATCTTCATCCGGAAAATATTGGTAACTGGATGACAAAATTACAAAATCTGGGAATAAAATTAATTTATATTTTTCACTCGAACCGAGTATCACAGCATTAAAATTTTTAGACCCTGAAAAGTACCTCAGTACGGCCGAAAACTTGCAAGAACGATTTGTTCAGAAAGTAAAAATTTTATTTTATGGTCCAATTGCGAGAAGCAGAAGCAAATGTACCAACCCTTTTAAAATGCCGACCAGTAAATAAGTATGGTGGTCAAATGCGAATGAGAATTGACACCTCCAAAAATAATAAAAATAGAGTTTTTTGTTACATAAAAGTGGCCAAGAGGAAATTCTGAAAATGACGTTATTATTACAACCGGAAAGGGGTAACGGAATACTCGTATATATTTTTGTTTATCTTGTGAAACAAGGTGGATTTTCCACGTGCGCATCTGCATTATCAATTTGAGGTTATATAACCTCCGCCTCCCTTTGTATTTTCCCATTGCCCCTTGAGAAATACACACAAAGTGGTTTATGAAAAAAAATTCTATTGCGGTGTCGTTGCCGTCATCGGATTATTTTTTGTTACCGCAAGAGAGCCTTTGGTATACAAAAACTTGTACGTTTTATTACTAAGTATTGTATCTTCCAGATGAACCCTGATGATTTTGAGCTCATTTCTATTTGAGAAGCCCCCACATTTCAGGAAACCCCAAATGAAGAAAATGACAACCAGTTTTTTAATGGTGAGGTTAAAACAAAAGAAACATTTACTGAATCAACTCTTCTATTTGTAGAGTATATTTTTGGAATTCTTTGCGATGAGCATGTCAAAAGTGGGGTTGTGCGCATGTGAAATTTGAACGCCACCATATCTTTGTAATAAAGGTAGTAGTCGACTATGTCAAACATGTCAAGGAAGGGGGAGACTCACACAGGAAAGATATGATAGATGTAGACGCGACGCATCCGTCGATGGGGTCAAAACTTTTTGTGCATAACTCAAAAAATTAGTGTCGGAACACCGTACTTCCCACATAGCATTCGATATCTTACGTATATACATTTTAAATCCATAATGTACAGGGAATAGCCTGTCCATCTTATGTATATACTATGTATATTCATTATAGGATAGGCATATGTATTTTATGTTCAGTATGGGTATTCTATAAATTTACATTCTGGATATGCTATGTATATACATGGGATTATATGTTATGTATATGCGTTTTGGATTTGATACATGCGTGTTCTGTATT